TTGCGAGACTTAACATCAACGAAGTGAGTCTTTCCTTTGTTGTTGAAGACTTTGATTTGTTTGGCTCTTAGGTGGCGTCGATACAAGAGATTGTCTTAAAAGAAATTGGAGGGTTATCAGAAAGGTACGAGGAGAGTGCATTAAACAACTTAAATTATGTGGTTTTCGGCGAAGAAGCAAACTACGTCGACGTTGTTGATGATAAATATGATGATGACAAAATGATATCAGAAGACGAAGTTACTTCAATGGACGATTTAATAAACTGTGAAGACATCTCTGATTCCATCCATAATGCCACACAACCTGAAGAAATTGATTTAAAACGCAAGAGCCCAAAAGAACTCAAACTGATCAAAATGGTAAAGTTGTTGAAATCCAACTTCGAAAAAGGAAACCAGTATGTCAAGGAACAAATTGTCCACTCAATTGAAGCCCACATCAACTCTGAGATAACATCCAATGGAAAAGAACTAACAAGAGGTCAGAGGGATGCCGAACTGGGTGAATTTATTGTATTATATCTTTCTTTTATAAGGGCAGGAAGTGGGCTGTCTCAAACGCAAATAGAAGATGTGGTGGGTTTCCTCAATTTCTTTATTGATGCTACAAAAATAAATATAAAACCATTCAAACTTTCTCTAAGTGCGTCCACTATTAAAAGGCGAATTTCGTTGATCGCAGATGTAAAGAAAGACGAAACTAAAGAGTTTCTCCAAAAAGCAAAGTATGTGGGTCTTATGGCTGATGGCGCAAAATACGGCTCCAGTGAGCACTTCAGTCTGTTTTCAAGGTCAGTAAGTGAAAACAACGAGGTGAATGAGTCTAAACTGAAAATTGAAAAAGTTATAGGGAAGCCATCATCCGAAAATTGGTTAAAGTGGATAGTTTCTGTTGGCGAGGAATTTGAATTTGACTTCAAAAAATGCTCTTCTGTCACGTTTGACGGGGCAAGCACAATGATCAGTGAAGAAGGAGGACTTTCTGGTAAAATAACAAATTGGCTCAGTACAAAAGGCTTTCTGGTAGATCTATTTCAATCCAATTACTGTTTTAGCCATAGGCTAAGTAAAGCTGTCGAGAAAATAAACGAAATTGTAGAGGTTGCAATAATCAAGAAATATCTGTACAAATTAACAACCGACAACGTTAGAACACTCTGGGAGCGGTTTTGTTCACAAAA